ATCCAAACCCTAACTCTAATACTAACCCTAATAATAAATACCCGGCAAATAAAATCCGGCTACCATTTTTTACGGGCAACGCTATGTAAGTTGCAAAGTCCGCTTATGTGATCTTACACTTTGTATTATCTCGGAGACTCGTTTACAATAAAGACCACAAATTTCATTAGGAAAATTCAGACATTACCTGTATAGGAAATATAATAATCACATAAAAGACATTCAATATGGAAAATGATATTACAATATTTAGCAAACAAGAATGTTATAAAATTGATTTGATATAAGCTAAATGTAAAATTTTTTAGTATGTAGGATTTTTTTAAAAATGGTTAATACTTTTTTTCGTATTCAAATTTTCGAGATAAGAGATAATCTTTCGTCGATCTTTGGTAGATTTTTCAAAAAAAACACCGACTTTGTTATTACTTCGAATAAACCAGGATGAATTTACAGGTTCCTTTCCCCCATAAAAAAATTGTTTTAATTTTTTTCTTTTTGATGATGATTGTTGTTGCACATAATTATGGAGTCTTGTTATAATTTGATCCAAATCAAGAAGCAATACTTTTTGCACGTTTATTGAGTCTATCAGAGTCTATCATGATATATTCAGAAAGTCCGAAAGGCCTTACACGTGTATATATATGTATCAAACTTTCTCAAATAAACTACAACTTACTTTTTATCTCTTTTTCAGAAAAATCATGGTAGTGTCGCTAAATTGTTTAATTCTAGGACAAACTTCTGAAAATATTTTCAATGTCGTTGTTGGCGATTATTTTACCAATAATGATGGTATTAAGATCTATTTTGATGAATTAACCGTTGATAACTTCAAGGATATTCTCTATCGTAGGATAGAAGTTGAAAGAATAATCAACTTAAATATCTGGAAGGTTGAACTTGACCTTAAAAGCCTTAAAGAAAAAATTTATACCGAGGATGACATTAAAAAATGTGGCATGATGATGGAACCTATATTGAGATTTAAAGAATATTTTAATAAAAATAACAAAAAACCTAAGATAAACCTTCTTCATATCTTCGTAGTTCCCACTGGTAAGTGTCTCCCTTTTGAACAGGGGAATTTGCAGTTATCTCATATTTTATATTTTTTTTTTTTTTTATTGATTAGGGGAAAAGAAAATTGGATATGTGTGAGTGGAACCGTAAAAAAAGGTAAAGTAACATGTGCGTTTATAATATCTTGTAATTTCTAGATCAATCATTTTAACACAATTATTTCTTAGTACCAGAGACAATTTTAACTAAAGCTACAAAAATCATGAAAGATATAATGAAACTTCCCAACGATCCTAACGTTTATTCAAACCCAGAAAATTCTTTTTTGTTACCGTTCCCATTCCTTGGCAAAAGAAAACCAGTAGAGAGATTTGTCATCGATAATGATGAGCAAAAGAAAAGAATTGAATATATTACCGGCAATAATCCATTCTTCTTGAGCTTTCTTCGAGTTCCCAAAGAAGTTTCCCAAGGTTTCGAAAATGCATGGGATAACTTAAATCAACTATTAATATTGAAGATGCAAGAGCCAATGACGAAATTTTCAGAATCTATAGCAAAAGAATCAAAAGAAAGATGGGAATTGTATGTGTCTTTAGTTTGCTTTGTGATTATTAAGCTATATGAAAACTGACTTCTCACTTTACACAGTCACGTCAATTTGATGCTATCTTTCCTGACAAATGATTATCCTCCATACGGCTTTGGAGTTGACGATTATGATCATCGGTTCTTCTATATTAAGAATAATAACCGTTGTTATTATATCTGTGGGTTTGGATTAGGATTAGGATTAAGGTAGAATTAGGGATTAGTTAAGGGAGTTAGCAAATTTGTCACATCGCGTCA